GAGAGAGAGAGAGAGAGAGAGAGAGAGAGAGAGAAAGGTCTTCCTTCCATTGATTCACCCTCCAAATGGCCGCTATTATTGGCGCTTCCTCCTGGTCTCCCATGGGGTGCAGGGCCCAAGCACTTGGGCCATCCTCCACTGCACTCCCGGGCCACAGCAGAGAGCTGGCCTGGAAGAGGAGCTACCAGGACAGAATCTGGCGCCCCGACCAGGACTAGAACCCAGAGCCCATATGGGATGCTGGCGCCGAAGGCAGAGAATTAACCAAGTGAGCCACGGCGCTGGCCCCCCTCTCTTTTTTTAAAGTTTATTTACCAACCATGGAAGTGTTAAAACTGACAACACTGCCTTGCGGAGTTGGTAGCATGTAGAGGGGTGCATTACACACAACATGAGTCACACAGGGGGGCGGGAGGGTGACGCAGACCTGGGAAGCTGGGAGATCTCATGTGACACAGCAGGGTACCCCACATGAGGGCCAGGGCCAGTCCTGGCTGCTCCACTTCTTTTTTAAAATATGATGATATCTTTTTTTTTTAAAGACTTATTTATTTGAGAGACAGAGTTAGAGACAGGGAGAGACAGAGAAGTCTTCCATGGGCTGGTTCACTCCCAAAATTGCTACAATGGCTAGAGCTAGGCCAAACTGAAGGAGCCAGGAGCTTCTTCCAGTCTCCCACGCGGGTGCAGGGGCCCAAGCACCTGGGCCATCTTCCACTGCTTTCCCAGGCCACAGCAGGGAGTGGGATCAGAAGTGGAGCAGGGGCCAGCACTGTGGCATAGCAGGCTACGCCAGTCTGCGGTGCCAGCATCCCATACAGGCGACGCTGGGTGCTCCGGCTGCTCCTCTTCCAATCCAGCTCCCACTGTGGCCTGGGGAAGCAGCAGACGCTGGCAAGTGCTTGGGCCCCTGCACCCACGTGGGAGACTCAGAAGCAGCTCCTGGCTCCTGGCTTCAGCCTGGCGTAGCCCTAGCTGCTGTGGCCATGTGAGAAGTGAACCAGCAGATGAAAGATTCTCTCTTTGTCTCTGTCTCTCCTTCTCTAAGTCTGTCTTTCAAATAAATAAATCTTTTTTTTTAATTTTTTAAGATTTTATTATTTGAGAGGTAGAGTTACAGACAGTGAGAGGGAGAGAGAGAGAGGTCTTCCTTCCGTTGGTTCACTCCCCAAATGCCTGCAATGGCCAGAGCTGTGCTGATCCGAAGCCAGGAGCCAGGTGCTTCCTCCTGGTCTCCCATGCGGGTGCAGGGCCTAAGCACTTGGGCCATCCTCCACTGCTTTCCCGGGCCACAGCAGAGAGCTGGATCGGAAGAGGAGCAGCCAGGACTAGAACCAGCACCCATAAGAGATGCCGGCACCGCAGGCGGAGGATTAACCTACTGCACCATGGCGCCGGCCCCTCAAATAAACAAATCATTAAAAATAAATCAATGAGATGCCCCAGATGCCTCTTCACACCGAAAGGAGACAGGGGAGCTGGTGAGGACGTGGGGGAACGGCACCTGGGGCAGCCGCCTGGGGCGACCCCTCCAAAGGCCACACGAGGTCAGCACCCCACTGCTGGGCGCATACCCAGGAAGACCGAAACTCTTCCCCCTCACAGAAAGCTCCGCACAGAGCCGCAGGAGCGTTACCCATAAACGCCTAAGAAAGGAAGCAAATGAAAACATCCACCGACCGCTGATAAATGGCGCCTGGCACAGCTGCAGAACGGGTGCTTCTCGGCCATAAAAAGAAAGGAAGCGCCGAGACCCGGCGTGGCGTGGGCGAGCTCTGGACCTAGCACGCCAGGTGAGAGAAGCCAGACGTGGGGCCTCCTGGCACGGGGCTCCATCTGCGCGGCTCATCAGCACCCGCGCACCCAGGGACGGGACGAGCGGGGCTGTGGGGGCCGCGGGCCGGGAATCGGGACGCACTGGGCAGGCAGATCTCTCTCTGCAGAGAGGGGTGTGAGTGGACGCGCTCCGCCAACCTCACGGAACTGTGGCTTGAAGGCATATAGATACACACATGCATTGTAAAGATTTATTTACTTATTTGAAAGTCAGAGCTACACGCAGAGAAAAGAGACAGAGACAGAGAGAGGGAGGGAGGGAGGGAGGGAAGAAGGGAGGAAGGGAGGGAGGGTGGGAGAGGGGAGAGAGGGAGAGAGGGAGAGAAGGAGGGAGGGAGGGGTGACTTCCATCTGCTGGTTCACTCCCCAGATGACCAGAACAGCTGGGGCTGAGCCAGGCCAAAGCTGGAAGCCAGGAGGTTTCATCAGGTCTCCCATGTGGCTGCAGGGGCCCAAGCCCTTGGCCGTCTTCCGCTGCTTTCCCAGGCCATTAGCAGGGAGCTGGGTGGAAATGGAGCAGCCAGGACTTGAACTGGCGCCCACAGGGGGTGTTGGTGCCCCAGATGGCATCACAGCACTACCCCAGGACTACATTTTATGACATAAATTAAATCTTAACAAAACTGATTTTTAAGGGGGTAGATTCCAACTCAACCATTCCGAAAATTACATCAAATGTCAATAAACGCTCCAATGAAGAGACAGAAAATTCCCGAAAGAAGGTTTAAAAAGACGCAACTAGGAATGAACTAGCAGATGGAAGATCTCAGTCTCTCTGCCTTTCACATCAAAAGATGTATTTTATTTATTTGAAAGGCAGAGTCAGAGAGAGAGAGAAGGAGAGACAGATCTTCATCTATATCATCACTCCCCAAACGGCCGCAACGGCTGGGGTTGGGGCTGGGCCAAGCCAAAGCCAGGAGCCAGGAGCCTCCTCCAGGTCTCCCACACGGGTGCAGGGGCCCATGCAGTTGGGCCATGTTCCACTGCCTTCCCAGGCGCATTGGCTGGCAATCTGAGTGAAGTAGAGCAGCTGGGACTTGAACCAGCACCCGTATGGGAGTCAGAGCTGTAGGCGGTTTAATCGCCTACACAACGCCGGCCCCTAAAACTTAAAAAAAAAAAAAAAAAAAAAGGCAGCCGACCTGATGCTATGTGGTCTACAAGAGACTCACTTTAAATATGAAGGCAAAGATGCACGGGTGGAGAGAGATCTAACGTGGAGACGGCGAGTGTAAGAAGGTTAGAGCGATCGTTCAACACCACGCGAAACGGACCGGAGACAAGGTGGACTACCAGGAAGGGGACGGGGAGCCTCCCGACCACTAAAGGCTCCTTCAGGAGGAAAGCAGCAATGGCCTGCGTGCGTGTGCCCTCGGAGCTTCAACACCGGAAGCCAGCGCTGGCAGCAGCCGTCAAAAAGAGAAACCGGAATTGTGCCATCACTGCTGAAGTTTCTTTTCTGTTTGTTTTGTTTTGAAAGATTTATTTACTTGAATGTCACAGCTACAGAGAGAAAGGGAGACACAGAGAGACCGTCCATCCACTGGGTCGCTCCCCCAGATGGCCACGATGGCCGCCAGGAGTTCTTCCAGGTCTCCCATGTGGGTGCAGGGGCCCAAGCACTTGGCCCGTCCTCCGCTGCTTTCCCAGGCCACAGCAGGGAGCTGGATCGGAAGTGGAGCAGCCGGGACCCGACCCGGCGCCCGTAAAGGATGCCGGCGTCACAGATGGAGGATTAATCAGCCCCCAGAGCTGGAGACTTTAAATGCCTGTCACTCAGCTCTGGGGAAACCTGGACAAAAACCCAGAGGAGAAAGAGATCGGGACACGGCACGGCACAGAGACGTGGTGTTTGCACAACCCCGAGCTCAGCAAAGCCAGGACACGCGCGATCTGCGGGGCACTTCCATCTTCAACCCCAAATCACTGAGCATGTCTGAACCCCAGCCCCAGTTCAACGAGAGATCAGTCACAACAAGAAAGCCAGCTAACTTCCCCCAGATGTTTGGGAAGTAAATACCACTCTTCCACGTGATCACCCGGTCACCGGAGAAACCACAAGAGAAATTAGAAAATATCTGGCATCTGAAATGGAGACTCAACAACCTGTCAGAATCTATGAGACTCAAGCCTCACAGAGCGAAGAGGGAGGTTAAAGGCCGGCACATCTCTGTGAGGAAGGAGAAGGCGGCTACGAGTCAGCGAGCTAAGTTTCCAGGAAGTAGGAGAGAGGACGGAAGCAGAGAGCGAGAGCAGGGATCGGTGACACCGACAGCAGCTTCCGGCTGGGCTGATGAAGGACCCGCAGCCGCAGTGAGAAAGGAGACATCACGACCAACGCTTCAGACCTGAGACGCGTGAGACGGGCGCCCTCCGCACACGCTGCAAGCTGCGTGGGCGCTGCGCCAACATCGGAGCAGCAAGTGCTAAGCTGAGGCTGCCATCATGGCCGGCTGAGGCTGCAGGACAGGGCGCGTCCGACCCCGGCCGTATTGGCCAGCCAGGCCTGAAGCCCAGGGACCAGGGACCAGGGCTGGGTCTGGAGGTGGCAGAGGGTGGGAGGGCATGAGGGGAAACAAGGGAAGGTAGGCCCAGGGCCTGGAGCCTGGGGTGGCACTGTGGCTTGGGTTCTGAGCCTGTGGAACCATGAAGCCAGGTGCGGCTCAGGGAGCCCTGTGGGGCCAGCAGGGCAGAGCCGTGGTGCCCAGGAGGGCAAAGGACACCGGAGAAGTCAGCAGAGCCCCTGCCCCGCTGCGGCCCAGGAGTGGGTGAGAATGGTACCAGGGTGAGCCCCGGGCGGCTGCCTCAGTTTGCCCGTCTGCAGTGGGCTGGGTAAGCCTGGCCCCAATCTCGGACTCCTCTGGGCCTCAGTCCCAAGCCACAGTGGGCCTGCCCCTCTTCACCACCACTGAGCTCACTCGCTGTGCTGCCCAGCCCAGCCCAGCGCCCGCAGCCAGAGAGGGAGATGTACCTCCCGTCCCCTCACTCAGCCAGGGCAACACGTCAGCAGCCTCCCTGACGACCCTGGCCAACACAGGACCCTCCTGGGCGCCCACACCCGCTCCGCACAGCTGCGGAGACCCTGCCCACTCCCCAGCTCTGCCCTGTCTCATCTCGGGGCCTCGCTTCCCTCCCTGCAGCCGGGGAGGGCCGACACTCACCCATCAGGCTCTGCCGCTCTTCCTTTTTCCGTGCCTTCTGCTTGGCCTCCAGCTGCACCACGGACAGCGACGGCCCCACCGTGGGGCTGGGGAGGGCGCTGGCCGCAAAGCGAGCCAGCAGGCCCAGGCCACTCTCCTCCAGGCCTGGCGACAGGGCCCGCTCCCGGGCGCCCAGCCGATAGCCCCCAGCGGCCTCGGCTTCCTCCTCCTCCTCCTCCTCCTCCTCCTCCTCCTCCTCCTCCTCCTCGGAGCTCTCATCTGGCGTGCAGAAAACAGGGAGCAAGTCAGACCCTGGCCCCGGTGCGTGCCATCCCCACTCAACTCCAGCCTGACCCTCAGCCCTCACCAGGGGCCACCGGGGGAGGATCCAGCCCTAGCCCATGGTCCCGCCCATAGGCCCCCCAACAGAGTCCCGGACAAGGGCCTCCTGCCCAGCCCAGAGGTGGGCAGCAGCTTTGGGTGTCAGGGTGGGCTTCACAGGGAGTCCCAACATGCACCTGTGCTGTGGGCAGGGGGACAGACACACGACAAGGACTGGAGACAGCTCTCTCCACAGTCTCACACGTGCGCGCACACACACACACGCCCCAACATAAACATGGAGGCCGAAAAGGAAGCAGGAGAGAAGGAAAGGAGGCGGAGGGAGGATGGGGCTGGGGGCACTCAGGCTGGGGCTCTGGGCCAGGCGCCTGGGGGCTGGCAGCAGGAGAAGGTGGAGTCCGGGCTGTTGCTGGGGGCGGGGGGCCCAGGAGCCCAGCGCTAACTCCGACTGGCATTCTCGTGTTGGGGAGGCCTTGTTGGGCAAGTTCTCTGCCCTGAGCCCTTCTATCTCATCTATGGCTTGGTGATCTCCCAGCCCGCTGGCCCAGCTACAGGAGGGTCCCACAGGATCCCATGTACACTGGACAGTGTTTTGCAGGCTTCAAGTGGATCAAACAGGAAGCAGTACCACCCCGTGACCTGCAGAGAGGAACCATGTGGTCCTACAAGCTGGCTACCTACAAGCCCTACCCCAGTAGCTAGTCCTGCAGCTCCCTCCCACCCCCCGCTCCCCCAGGCTGAATGGAGCAGAGTGGGCAGGTAGCTGGCAGGGAGAGCTACCTGCACAGGGACCAAGCCCTCTGCCCAGGGGGCCCGGGGCACCTGTCCACCTGGCGGGCCTGACTGCTGGGGAGAGTGGCCTGGGCGCTGGCCTGGGCACGGAGGGAGGGCCACTCCGGCCAGCAGGAAGAAGCAGGAGGCCACACTTCCCTTCCAGGCAGCGAGCAGCCTGGGCTGTGGGACGCAGCCTGGGGGTACACACGACCAACTCCACATTCTCCTGCCGACACCCACGGCGGTGGCTCGCTCAAGAGTAGCCAGAGGGCAGAGGCTCTATCTGCCTACCCATTGGCAAGGGAGCCTGCCGGGGCCCCCACTGGGAGGGGGAGGCTGGGGTGGGTGGGTGGGTGGGGTCTGTAATAGGGTGGGAAGGGAGGAGGCAGGGAGAGAGAGGGTTTGTTACGAGGGGTGACAGGCAGGACACTGGCAGGAGCGATGGATGAAGCAGGCGGGGGCCAGCGGGGCAGGCAGGCAGCGCACACTTGCGACCATTCACATGGCGACGTCACATGGCTGTCTCCGCCCCAGCGGGCCACAGCGGCAAAGCAGGCTAAGTGTAGGCAGACTTTCCACAGCGCCTGGGTCCCCACATCAGGCCTCCCTGGGGTGGGCCAACTGGAGCAGGGTGGCGGGCAGGGGGCTGGCTGCTGGGGTGGGGGCACGGGGTTGGATGCGGGACAGGGATCTCCCCTCCCCTGGCTAAGACATCCTGCCCCGGGGGCCGCTGGGGTGTGAAGACTCTGGAGGGCGGGAGGGTTGGCTCTGCGCTTCTGGGGGGTCAGCAATGCCCACACCAGACTCCGGGAAGCCATCGGCAGGCTGTCCTGACACCTCGGAGTCAGTAAGACATTTGGAAGGCAAAAGCCAAAAACAAAAAGATAGTCAGGTTCTCCCACGCCTTCCCCTCTACCCTGCAGCCTCCCACGTGGCCCGTCTGCCCGAGGCCAGGGTCCACAGGCGCAGGGGAGGGGCACAGGGCCACGAGGATGGAGAAAAAACCTCCCGGGAGTCCTTCACACCTGAGTCAAGGGAGCTTTGCCGAGGGCAGGGCGGGGGAAAGAGTCCCGGCAAAGCAGCCCATGGAAATGCAGAAAACTTTTACTGTGGGTGAAAAAAGTGTTTTAGGTCTTGGCTCGTTTCAAGGGGTTGGCGGTTTCGACTCGGTTTGGTGTTCCCAAAACCCGGTAAAATGCGGAGCGATCTGCTGCTGCCAGACCCGGCGGGGGCGAACCCCGGGGAGGGGGAGATGTAGAGGGGGCACAGAGAGAAGAGGGTTTTGCCTACCTACGGAGCAACGAGCCAGGCTCGCACCCAAGCTCAGTGACCCGCTGCGCCGTCTGCCCTACTCCCAGCCTTCGCTTTGCGTCCAGAGTGCAGCGTGAGAGCAAATGCAAGAGACCGAAACAGACATTCAAAGCATCATGGGTAGGGGTCAAGGGTGAAGGTATGGTCAAGTTGCTGCGAGGAGAAAGCACACACTGGAAAAGCCAAGCCAATCAAGTGTTTTAGTGCCAGGGTCGGCGAGGCCCTATTACCCAAATATCCCTTTGGAGACCTGACCAACGGTCTGCTCGCGGGGCAGGCGGAGCGGCCGAGCCCCTCCCCTCCCGGGTCTGGGCTCCAGCCCTGAGCCCAACAGCCCCTTCCTCAGAGGGTCGGGGGCCGCCTGCCTCTCGGAGCTAGGAGCACCTGGGAGCCAGAACCCTGGCCGAGGGCAGCGCCGGGAGTGGCAGGGGGCCCCAGCCCGGCCCAGGCGGAGGGAGGAGGTGAGGAGGGGTGGGCGGACGGTGACCCGACCAGCTCATCCACAGAAGGTGGGCCAGTGGTTAGTGGCCTCTTCTCGCTCAGCCGGGGCAGCGGCCCAGGAGACCGTGAGCCCCGAGGGCATCGGCCTCCCTGCGGCGCCATCTCCCGGTCACCCAACTGGGAGGGGAAATGGGGGCGGGGGCGAGGAGGAGGTGGACCAGGAACTTGAGGGCAAGGCTGGAAAATGAGGGCACTGTTCCAGGTCCAGGGCCCGGGCCTGGTCATGTCCAGGTTTCCCAGGATACCGCGGGCCTTCCTCGGGGGGCGGCTGACGCTGGGGCGCTGGGGAGCCCCACGGGCGGGCCTGATGGGCACTCGGCCCCAAAGCAAACCCTGAAGCCGGGGCTGGGAGACCTTACGAGGACTCCCTCGCTCCCCCTTCTTGGGCCTGGGGGGCTCGGCCGCTCCTAGCTCCACAGCACAGTTCTGGCGTCAGGGAGGGCAGAGGCAGCACGTGCCCAGAGCTGGGGAGCCTGACCCCTCCTGGGGAGCCCTGACGGAGGAGCGGAGACCGCCGCGGGCCTGGGACTCGCGGGCCAGCGCCCTCGGCGCGGCAATGAAGCCGGCGCTTTCGGACGCAACCAGCGTGTCTGCGGGGCTCGGCCCTGCGCTGCCTACGTGAGAACACAGGGCTCATCAACTGACATGTTCCAAACACAGGTGAAAAAAGAGAGCTTTTAGAAAATAAAAGACACACAAGCAGCTTTAAAAAAAAAATGACGCTGACGTGACAGCAGCTGACTTTGAACCTGAAAAATGAAATGAATGCCAACAGCTACCAGGGATATTTGAATAATAGAGAAAAGCATCTCTACTCCTGGGGGGGGAGGGGGGAGGGGGGAGGGGAGGGGAGGGGAGGGGCGGATGAGGGGAAGCGTCACCTAACATCTAGTAAGGACACAGCAAGAGAGACAAGGCACACGGGTTTAGTTAAAAATGAACTCGATATGTTTAATAGAGCTTGGTATTACCAAAATTGCGGTACAAACATCAAGTCACACGCCCACACGACAGAATTCCGTTTACAGAAGGTTCCTCGGGAGGCCTCCCGCGGGCCCGTGCGAGAGGCCCGGCCCAAGCCTGTGGTCTGGGTGGGCAGAGAGGGGAGAGGGGAGAGGGACACGGGCAGGGGGGAGGGCGGAGAGGAAGGCGAGAGCGGAGGAAGGCAGAGGCCCGAACCCGGTCCACGTAAACGCTCCGACAGAGCTGCCCAGTGACATCAGCACAATGATACAGTACAAATAAAAACAAAAGTAAAAATCAGTAGGCAGTAAGGCAGGCTACGCTGCCAAGAACCCAGACGGCTGCCTTCCCGCGGCCCTCCGAGCGGACGGCCGCGGCGCCCGCCATCTCTCCTGCGTGCACGCACGCACGCTCGCTCGCTCGCTCTCACTCACTCTCGCTCGCTCGCTCTAGAACAGGAAAGGTACTTTGTGTTTGGAGCTAGTAACCTTGGTCAAACGAGTCCTCCGAGGAGTCGCTGAAGGAGGAACGGGCCTCGGCCTCCCGGAGCAGCAAACAGAAGGGCTGCTTCCTGCCGCCGGCCGGCTTGGGGTTCAGAGTCCGGGGGCCCGCGAGGCCCCGCCTGCTCAGCTTGGGGCCGGCGGCCGACTTGCTGCTCTTTGTCACCATGCCACACAGGATGGACGACGTCAACTTGGAGCTGGAGGGGCCCTGGGCCGACCACTCGTCCTTGAGCAGATCCTCGTCTTCCTCGGAGTCCGTATCTGCGGTCAGAGCAGTTGTTAGAGGTGAGGCGCGGGCGCCGGCGCGGGTGCGGGCACGGGGCTGGCACTGCGCCGCGCGCAGCAGCTCAGAGACCACGCAGGCAGAGGCCACACGAAGGCTGCCGTGCCCTCCCTGGCCTGGCCTCCCGCCTGCACTGGGGAGGCCTCCAGGCTGCGGGCCCTGCCCAGAATCACCAGCAGCCACGGCTGCCTGGGCAGGCCCCGGGCAAAGCGGTCACTGCCACACGGTCCCTGTCTACCCTATGGGATCGCACAGGGGCCAGGGCTCCTCTGTGGGAGAGCCAGTCGCACCCATCTCGGTGCAACTCCCCACGCAGGTGGCCTTCCAAGGCCGAGGAAGGAGCGGGCAGAGCCCTGACACCAAGGAGGCTGACAAACGGCGCCACAGCTGGAGCCTTCCACGCCGCGGCCACGGGTGCCAATCCTGGGATGGCAGCCATCATCTTCAGAGGGGGAACCGGGCAAAGGGACACCGCCCTGCCCCTTCCAACGCCAACCCAAGCGTACACCATCTCCACCTGTCTCACTATCGGGCTGCTGAGCAAGACGGGGGAAGACGCCACAACCACTCCACACGGGAGACGTTAACGGGCACAGCTGCCGCTCGGCAATGCCACAGCCAAGAGAAACTACACCCGGCGGGCGGGGGAGGGTGGCTGGCTGCTGCCCCCACATCTACGCTTCCCACTACAACCCAGATTCCAATTCTAGGAAGGCCTGGCAACCCGGGGTGTAGGACAAGGTCAAGTCCCACCAACCCGCCAGCCCCAGCCGGCCGCCGGCCATCGCTCTCCCTACCACGCTCCCGTGTGTGCGCCCTGGGGCACATCCAAGGCCACAGAGCCAGTGCGCGAAGCCAGCCACAAAACCCACCGGGCGCACCACCCACCGGCAACCCGGGCTGAAGAGGCAAGAGGGCGCCATTCCCTCTTCCATCGCAAGAGGGCGCCATTCCCTCTTCCATCGCTGCCCACGCAGCTTTGTAACCCCGAGTGGGGGCGCGCTCGTCGGCCACCGACCCGCTGGCCAGGGCCCGCTCACTTCCTGGCTGCAACGTTCGCGGGCTTCTCTCCCCTGGCAGGTGCCGACCAAGGCACGCTCCCTCTCACGCGGGAGAAAGCCCACGCACCGAGCTCAATCAGGCCCCTCCACACCACCTACAGGTTGGGGGGACGAGGGAGACCCTGCCAGCCACCAGCCAGGCCGCGCTCACAGACCACCACCCCCCTTGGAAAAACCCAAGGCGACCCCCTCGCCCGGCTTCCTAACCGCAAAATCAGCAGCCGGCAACGAGGCCCTGACCCCGGCTGTCAGCTGCGCCCACGCCCGGCCACGCTCATCTGCAACACAGGACCGAAGCCGAGACCACTCCCCACGGCACCTCCTCCCAAACGGGCCGCCCGACCCACACCCCCCGGCCGACCAGTCCTGGGGGCCCAGGAGCAACCCCCACCCCCACAGACGCCCCCCAAAACAGTAGCTGAACCCCGGGCCAGGCACCCCCGGAGGCGGGGGCGCCTGCGATCCAAGTCCACACACTCCTGTATGTTCTTTCCTTAAGAACACTTGACATTAAACGCCTCTTCCCGCCCCTTCCCCCAAGGAACGAGACAGGGCCCATCCAACCAGATGGCCCCGACGGCCGGCGAGGCCAGGGCCTGGCGCCTCGCGGGACACACAGCGCTGGCAGACAGGAGCCGGCGCACCCTGCGCACCTGTCCACCCAGGCCACGGAGCGCCCGCCCCGACCTCCAGGCAGAGCCGCCGCCCCACCACGAGACTACAAAGGCACTTTTTTTAAAAAAGGATCGTGGAGAAACAGAATGGGCCGATCTTCCAGGACGAGTCACGTCAAAAATTCGTGCCGACCGGGGACCGTCAAAAAGTCCGAGGAAGACAGCGCACCCTGGACATCAAAACGACCCCGCACCAAGACAACTCGGTCACGCGCCTCTCCACCCCACCGGCCGCCCCTTCCAGGCGCCACGCACGCAGTCTCCGGGGCGACCCTGGGGGGAGGGGGTCCATGGGAAGAAGGTTCTAGACGGCCGGCGAGCCTGACCCTGCCCATCTCAGGACAAGTCTTCCGCGACCTCTGCTCCTCAGCAATGGCGGCGAGCGCTGCTAAGCCGTCGTATATACCGTGAGATAACGCCCCACGCACGCTCTCCCCACCAAGCCTCGGCCGCCTCACCGCCTCCTGAGGGCAGGCGCGTCATCTCTAGGACCCCCAGGGGCAGTCGCACTCCGGGCCTCTCTAGGCCCCGCAGCGCACACTCTATGACACCTAAGGCCTCCACACCGACGGCTTCCGGCATGTGAGAGGGCGGGCACCCCCCCAACAAGTGAACAACCAATCACAGGCGCCCGCCCAGCGCCACACCCACCAATCACAGGCACTGCTGCTCCAGGACGCCCGGCTCCCTCCCCCCCACTTCCGGCGCGGGGCCGCATGGCGTCCGGCCGCTACTTACTGTAGGAGTAGCTGCTCACTTCCGAGGCGAACGGGGAATGGGCCGACTTGGTCTGGCCTCTGGCCTTGAACCCCAACTCCATCTTCCTGGCTTTGGCGGCCCTTTTGTGTTTACCTTCTCTGGCGGGCTTGAGAGACAGGCCGAGGCCTTTGGCCAGCGCCTTCCGGTCCTTGCCCAGCAGGCTGTCGTAAGGGGTCAAGTACCTGCCGCAGCCCCCGCTGCTTTTGGACTTGCCCCCGGCAGCGTCCGAGAACTTGAAGGGGGACTTGAGCTTGTCCTGCTTGGTGAGGGACAGGGCCTTGTCCAGCTTGCTCGCCAGCTGTTCCTGGTCGCTGGCCATCTTCTTCTTCTTGATCTTCAGCTGGGGAGGGAAGTCGGGTCACACATGGAGAGGCTGCGCAGAGCAGCGCACGCACCCCTCCTCCGAGCCTGTCCCCCAGGCTGCCTCACGCCTCTCCGGCCTCAGTCCTACGCCCTGCGAAATGGGCTACTTCCTGGGCTTCGTGGGGGCTGATCAGAGAAGAGGCGCGCAGAGCCCTCGCGGCAGCGCCTGGCCCAGAGTAACCGCTTACTACATGGCCGTCCCCGTGGTTCCGATTATTTTCTGGCACTGTCTGGCAGCTGCCAAGCCAGGCCTGGAGGAGGGCGGGAAGGCGGCAAGACGGCAAACGCAGCGACCCGCGTATCTCAGGTGCCTAGAGCAGCTGCCGGGGCCTGCCGCGCGGCTACCCCAGCCCAGCCAACAGGCACCGAAGCTGCCAAGGGGACGCCTGGAGGGCGCCTTGGACGCCTGAGGCAGAGGGGACGATTAGATTTCATAGAAGGTTCCTGCTCGCACGGCTACCGTCGCCGAAGGGAACCCAGCGCAGTTCCAGTGATGGCTGCCTCGCCTTCCAACATTTTCTGTTTTCTCTAACCAGGTCGTGGGTTTTTTGTTTTTTTTGGGGGGGGGAGGGTCAGGACAGTGCCACGGAAACCACGGAAGCATCCCAGCATCCCCCACCACGACTAGACCCTAACCTACTGAGCATCTCCCCCGGGGCCCCGGTCGTCCCACTACGGGGGCGTCCAGCCCTCTGATGGCCGCATGAGCCAGGGCACCCACCCGGCTTTCGGGGGGACAGAGCACGTCAGTCTTCAGACGGGGGGCTTTCGTGGACAGAGGCGCTCAGCCCATCATCACCCCCCGCCCCCGGAGAACTCAGGAAGCGACAGCCAGAGCTGCCGAATGGTGATGCTGCTCACTGAACAGTCCCACCGTTCAACCACGCAGCAGCCGTGCAGCCACGTCTGGCTGAGAACCTGCCGCGACCCCGCCCGGCTTCCACGGGGGCCCAGGAATGCCCTGGCTCCGCCCCCAAGGCGGCAGAGTAGGGAAGAGGCACCGGCACCGGCACCGAGGCGGCCCTCCCCCCGGCGTTGCTGACCTGGCTCATGAAGTCAGCCGAGGCTTCCTGCTCTTCCCAGCTCTGGTTCCTCCCCCTGGCCTTCCCCATGGCGACGAGAGCTTCGTGTTCCTCCTCGGGCCCCTTGTGTCTCTTCCGTATCCCTGCTCCCAGCTCGTAGTCATCGGACGTCAGCAGGGACTTGCTGCTCAACCTGCAACCCAGAGGCACCGCCGGTCAGCACCCTGGCCGGGCAACCCCGGAGGGCCGGGGGCCAACCCTCGTGGCCCTGGACGGGCAGGCTCCGCACGCCGCAACGCAGTGAGGCCAGAGCGACGCCCCCGGGGAAACAGGGCTCCGGTGCCGGAATTCTGGGCTATTTGTGAATGAGGCAGAATCAGAGTTCACCGTGAGAGGAGGAGAAACCGTCAAGTCAGCATCCTCTGCTGGCCTCTCTCGTGCCCGCATGCACGCTCTCACAATCGCACAGACACACGCCACCGTTCACGGGGAGACACCAGCCTGCCCAAGACGCGCCCAGAGCAAGGATCAGAAACGCCCAGGAGCGCCACCAGGAGGGGAGGGGAAGTAAGGCCGAGAGCGGACAGGAAGACGGAGCCGTCCACTAATCTCGGGTGTCCCTGGGAGCGCGGGCAGTGGAGGGACAGCTGTCCCGACCGAGGCTTCGCTTGCCTGCTGTGAACCTGCTGCCTCCCCGAGCAAGGGGAGAAACCGCTCGAGGTGCAGGGGCCCTCGGTGAGCCCCGCCCTCTGCCCGCGCTCTGGGCTGCAGTCACAGAACGGCGCCTGGTGCTGGGTGCTGCTCCCCAGACAGGAGGCTCAGAACCGCCAGCTGCGGGCCCCAGGTCAGAACTAGGGGCGCGGCTGGGACTCGCCCGGCCACTCGCAGGGCCGCTACGCCCAGGCCGCTGCTGCCTGTGCTCCAAGTGTCCCCTCACGCTGCCGTGGCCATGGGCGCATCCTCCCTTCGGGCAGGAACAGCCAGGGCAGGTGGAGGGTGAGATGCGGGGGCCCTGGGGCCTCCCACTGCCGCGCTGGAGCCCCTCTCTAGTGCAGAACCAGGCTGCCTGGCAGGTGCCCAGGCCCGGCGCCCCAGCGGAGGAGCACACAGGTGATGGCCTCCCGGGCCAGTGCTCCGCCCCCTGCCCTCACGGGCAGCATCCCAGGACACCTGAGAGGTGCCCATCCCCAGGACGAGGAGGATGTGGCCCGGAGCAGGAGGGGGCCCTGGTCTCATCCAAGCCAGCAGGAAGCCGAGGGACATGTTGGACAAGGAGGACCAGGCCGCGGCACGAGGGCCCACTGCGGTGGGGCTGGCGGCTCGGCAGGGAGGACCGGTGGATGCAGCTCGGGTCACGGCCCGGACAACCTCACTGGGCCGGGCCGCCCGGCTCCAAGTGCTGCCTCGCTCCTCCTCCTGGCCCCAGCCGCGGGAGCCCCCGAGCGGGGGGTCAGAGCCCGCGGGACTGGAGGTCCCAGGGCGCCCGGACGCAGGCACCACTGGGCCCCCGTGCTCCTCCCCACCGAGGGGCGGCCTTACTTTCCGCTACTGGTGCGGCTCTTCCCTCTCTTGCGGGGGGGCGACAGGGCGCTCGGGGCGTGGCTCCGTTTCCGCGGCCTGCCAGGGCCTCTGCGTGCCAAGCTTCTATGGGGTTCCTGGTGCCTGTCCCTTAAAAAGAATCACAGGCTGGGCTGTGAACCTGAGGGGCAGCCGGGGCGCGGAGCAAGGGCACAGGACGCGCACACATCACTCGGGTCCACACACACCTCTGACGCCTGCCACTGCCTGCTGGCTGGGGGCGGGGCCCGGGCGGGGCCGGGGCGGGGCCCGGGGCGGGGGCGGGCACTCACTCGCAGTCGCGCCTGCGCTGCAGCTTCACCAGCTCTCGCTGCTTCTCCTTGTACTGCCGCTGGACCTCGGCCAGCCGCATCCGGAAGTCCAGCTCCAGGGCGTCCATGTCCTCCAGGGACGACTTCATGGCGTACATCTGGGGGGGGGGGGGTTGGGCAGGGAGAGAGCGATGAGCGCTGCAGCCGCCATCCCCACCCCTCAGACGGGCCCGGGGAGGCTCAGCGCTCTGGGATCCTAAGCCCCTGGCTCACGTCCGTCCGTCGCCAGCCCTGACGGCTGCGGCCCCGGCCTCGTCCGCACTCTGGGGACCGCGATACCCACTCCGCGGGCTGAGTCGGCCCCGCCTCCCACGACGTGAGGAAAGCAGAGGGTGCCGCAGCAGGGGGGAGCGGGGGCTCCATCCCCGAGGACCCCCGGGAAATTGACACGCGGAGGCTCCGAGGGCCCGAGGCCCCAGGCTGTCCTCTGTGCTGCCCACAAGAAGTGCCTGCTGCGCCATCAGACGGACAGACTAAAGCCCACAGGTGGGAAACCCACGGCCTGGCACCGCACAGCAGGTGCGTGGAAGAGGCCGGACACGGGTCAGACCTCCGCGACTCCGAGGCCAGCCGCCTGGCCCCGCCCACAGCCCCCGGGCAGGGAGAGCAGCCTCGGCTCACCCGCTCCTCCTTCTTCTGCATCCAGCTGTACTTCTTGTGGGGCTTCAGCTCCCGGGGCAGCCGCAGGTTCTTGAGCGGGTCCACGAACGGGCTGTCCAACACCTCCTTCAGCATGTGGCTGCTGGCCGCCAGCAGGCTTTCCAGCGACGGCCGCACAGCCAGGCCCGGCTCCGCACCTGCACGCGGGAGACGCGGCTGAGCCCACGCGGGCTGCGCGGGGGCTGGCAAGGCTGCCGTACCCACCCGGCCCAGCGCTCCGGGGCAGGCAGGGCTCATGGCACAGGAGAGGGACATGGGGCCCAGAGTAAATGCGGGCCCGGGGCTGCCCGGCCTCCCCCACTCCAAAGCGCTGAGGCAGGCAACAGGTGTGTGAGCACACAACACTCTGGAACACAGCGAAACCTCAGGAGTCCGGAGGCTGACGGAAGTTCCCCGGGGAGCGAGCCTCTGGGACTGCTTTAGTGGGGCGGGGGGCTTCCCGCGTGAAAATGCACAGTGGTCATACTCAGAAGAAAACACACAAAAAACAAGGGAGCCCGGGATAAAAGCAAACCGGCCAGAAAAGTCTGCAGGAATCCAAGCCCCCAGCACGCAGGTCCCTGCCGGGGGAGGCCGCTGTGGGCGCAGTGTCTGCTCGACGGTGCGAGAGCGTTTATGCACACTCACACGCGAATGCAGGGAGCACGCCTGGCACCCTCGGGAAACCCAAACACCGCGGTCGGCAACAGACGCCACGGCCCACTTGGCTTTGGCTAACGCCTTTTCACACTAGTCCGGAATACGCCGATCCACCGCCTTACTGGCCTGCACCGTAGGAAAACCACCACTGCCTGGGGTCTACAACACTGGAACGCCGGCAGCTTTAAACCCAACAGCACCGTGGCTTCGCTGGCGCCGCTGCGCTCCGGTGAACCTACAGGCCCCTGGGCGCCACCACTGAAGGTGCCTCCTCTTGGCTACTTTGCTGGGCAGTGGGCAGAAGCTCGGGGCTGCGACAGGTGTGCGTGCGAAGGCTGCCGCTGGTGGGGCTAGCGTGTGTGTGTGCACATGTGTGTGTGTGTGGTGTCACGGACGTTCCTGTGACAGGTGTGCGTGAGGAGGCTCCCGCTGGTGGGGTTAGCGTGTGTGCATGTGTGTGTGCATGTGTGTGGTGTCACAGACGTTCCTGCGACAGGTGTGCTTGGGAAGGCTGCCGCTGGTGGGGTTAGTGTGGTGTGTGTGCACGTGTGTGCGCACATGTGTGTGGTGTGTCACAGACGTTCCTGCGACAGGTGTGCTTGGGAAGGCTGCCGCTGGTGGGGCTAGTGTGTGTGCACGTGTGTGCACGTGCGTGTGGTGTCTCACAGATGTTCCTGTGGCAAGTGTGCTTGGGAAGGCTGTCACTGGTTGGGCTAGCATGTGTGCATGTGTGTGCACGTGTGTGCGCACATGTGTGTGGTGTGTCACAGACGTTCCTGTGACAAGCATGCTTGGGAAGGCTGCCGCTGGTGGGGCTAGCGTGTGTGTGTGCACGTGTGTGTGTGTGTGGTGTCACGGACGTTCCTGCGACAGGTGTGCGTGCGAAGGCTGCTGCTGGTGGGGCTAGCGTGTGTGTGTGTGCATGTGTGTGCACGTGTGTGTGGTGTGTCACGGACGTTCCTGTGACAGGTGTGCTTGGGAAGGCTGCCGCTGGTGGGGTTAGCGTGTGTGCACTTGTGTGCACATGTGTGTGCATGTGTGTGGTGTCATGGACGTTCCTGCAACAGGTGTGCTTGGGAAGGCTGCCGCTGGTGGGTCAGTGTGTGTGCGTGTGCACGTGTGTGTGTGTCACGGATGTTCCTGTGACAGGTAAGCTTGGGAAGGCTGCCACTGGTGGGGTTAGCGTGTGTGTGTGTGCACGTTAGTGTGGGTGTGTATGTGGGGTGTGTAGGTGTTTGTGTGTGCTTGGGAAGGCTGCCACTGGTGGGGTTAACATGGTGTGTGCGTGTGCATGTTAGTGTGGGTGTGTATGTGGGGTGTGTAGGGGGGTGTGTGTGTGTGTGTGTGTGCTTGGGAAGGCTGCCACTGGTGGGGTTAGCATGGTGTGTGTGTATGTGCATGCGTGGTGTGTGTGTCACGGACGTCCCTGCCACCTCCAGCTGGCGGGGTTAGCGTGGGTATATGTGTGGGTGTATGTGTGTTAGTGTGTGTGTGTATGCGTGGTGTGTGTGTCACGGACGTCCCTGCCACCTCCAGCTGGCGGGGTTAGCGTGGGTATATGTGTGGGTGTATGTGTGTTAGTGTGTGTGTGTGCGTGCGTGTGTGTGTCACGGACGTCCCTGCCACCTCCAGCTGGCGGGGTTAACGTGGGTATATGTGTGGGTGTATGTGTGTTAGTGTGTGTGTGTGTGCGTGGTGTGTGTGTCACGGACGTCCCTGCCACCTCCAGCTGGCGGGGTTAGCGTGGGTATATGTGTGGGTGTATGTGTGTTAGTGTGTGTGTGTGTATGCGTGGTGTGTGTGTCACGGACGTCCCTGCCACCTCCAGCTGGCGGGGTTAGCGTGGGTATATGTGTGGGTGTATGTGTGTTAGTGTGTGTGTGTATGCGTGTGTGTGTGTCACGGACGTCCCTGCCACCTCCAGCTGGCGGGGTTAGCGTGGGTATATGTGTGGGTGTATGTGTGTTGGTGTGTGTGTATGCGTGGTGTGTGTGTCACGGACGTCCCTGCCACCTCCAGCCGGGAACCTCAGCAACAGGAAAGGGGAGCTTGTTTTGGTCTCCACCAAACCCAAATGCGTGGGATTTAAATTTTTTTAACTGACATTTTCTTTGAGAACTAAACTACGACCGTTCTCCGGGCAGGCCCCGTGGTGCCTGATCCCTACCCGAGCACCGGGTCCACGTCCCGGGCACTCGGATTCTGCTCACCCCGGAGGCGGCAGGCAGCGCTCCCACCCAAGGGGGACCCAGCTGGAGCTCCAGGCTCCTGGCTCCCACCTGGCCCAGCCCCGGCTGATGCACGTACGGAAGCTCGCTCGCACTCTCTCACCCTGCCTTGTCTCTCTCTCTCTCTCTCTCTCTCTCTCATCACTCTTTCAAGTAAACAAGAGTACATAAACAAGACTATAAAATTAAACGTTTTTTGGAAGTTCCACATGCGCCGCATCTGTGCTCTGTGCTGCTGTCACTGGGCTGTGCAGGATAAAACTGCCGACCTGCGGGCCTTCCCGACCTTCGCCAACGGTGAGCGTGGAAGGTGCGAGCTGCCCAGAGGGAAACGGACAGATGTGTCCCGAGCGAGCACGAATGAGCTCTGATGTCGGTGGACAGAGCCCCTGAGGCCCATGCCAGGACCCTGGCGGCAAGGTGGCACCGGCCGGGCCTTCACCCACTAGGTGTCTCCCATGTCCATGGAAGACATTACCGCCAGTGTCCCCCAGGGGGCACCAGTTCACTCTTCTATGCCTTGGGGAAACCGAGGCCGCCAAGCAGCCCAGCCCGTGGGCTCCTGGGGGTGACTCCTCCACAGTCGGTGTCCCCAGATTCTTAGGGGTCGGGTAAGGCAGGAGCAATGTGGAGACAAAGCCACGCACAGTGGGAAAGGGCACAGAGAGGATGGCCACTGACAGGCCCGGCACACCCTGCCCCTGCAGCCCTCCGGCCCTGGAGCCACGCGGCCGTAACCTTCTCCCCCGAGCTGCACAGTCCAGCCTGTGGCTTCACCACGGGGCAGGGCGGGGGCGTTGTGGCACAGTGCTTGGGACACCCGCATCCTGCATCAGGGTGCTGGCTCAAGCCCCTGGCTACTCTGCCTCAGATTCAGCTCCCTGCGACCGTGCCGGGGAGGCAGCAGGTGCCGGCCCAAGTACCGGAGTCCCTGCCACGCGCACAGGACACCTGTGTGGAGTCCCAGCTCCTGGCTTCCGCCTGGCCCAGTCCCGTGTCCGTTTGGGGAGCGAACAGCAGGTGGAAGAGCGCCATCTCTCTGTCTCTCGGTCTCTCTCTTTCAGATGACGAAACATTTATTTACTTATTTTTTCAATTTGACAGGCAGAGTTAGACAGTGAGAGAGAGACAGAGAGAAAGGTCTTCTCTCCGTTGGTTCACCCCCTAAATGGCCGCTACGGCCAGCACTGCACCGATCCGAAGGCAGGAGCCAGGTGCTTCTCCTGGTCTCCCATGGGGTGCAGGGCCCAAGCACCTGGGCCATCCTCCACTGCACTCCCGGGCCACAGCAGAGAGCTGGCCTGGAAGAGGGGCAACCGGGACAGAATGACGCCCCGACTGGGACTAGAACCCGGGGTGCCGGCGCCGCAGGCGGAGGATTAGCCTAGTGAGCCACGGCCCCGGCCAGATGATGAAACATTTAAAACAAGAAAAAGGCTGATGCGGAGGCCCAGGTGACACCTAAGCCTGGATGGAGCCAGGTCTGCACGGCAACACCAGCCGGCCCCGAACGGGGCGCCCACAGAGGTGACCCGTGGGGCGAGTCTGGCCGCCTCCCCGAGCCCAGGGCCCGCCCCCCACGTGCCCTCCGACCTCGCCCCTCTTCAGTCCCCACTGGCACCAGCGGCTGGCAGGGGATTTTTCATTGTCTTCTGGGGGGTGTGGGGGGGAGGAATCTCTTTTGTACTGAGCTACCTTAGAGAGAGAAAGAAATCGGCAATGATCTAGAGCAACAGCATCAAGCCGAGGGGCCCCGGTGCAGCCACGCCTGGGGCCACAGGAAGCCTTGTGGACGTGGACTCTGACCCAACCATCCCACCTCTGGGGATGCAGCTCGGGAGAATCAGAGCTACAGCCAAGAACTTTCTCCAGGGACAATCACCCTGCTACTGGCATCAGGAAAAAACAAAAAAGGCAGAAATGACAGCGTCAGACTGCATCATCGAAAGCCAGGGCCTGCACGGCAGAAAATGGGGTGGCCTCTACAAAACACATCTTACAGGGGCCGGCACTGTGGCACAGCTGTTTAACGCCCTGGCCTGAAGCGTTGGCATCCCATATGGGCGCTGGTTCAAGACCCACCTGCCTCACTTCCGATCCAGCTCTCTGCTGTGGCCTGGGAAAGCAGTAGAAGATGGCCCAACTCCTTGGGCCCCTGCACCCACGTGGGAGACCTGGAGGAAGCTCCTGGCTCTTGCTCCGGATTGGTGCAGCTCCGGCCATTGTGGCCAACTGGGGAATGAACAAGCGGATGGAAGACCTCTCTCTCTCTCTCTGTGTAGCTTTTTCTTTTCTTTTTTTTTTTTTTTTTTTTTTTTTTTTTTTTTTTTTGACAGGCAGAGTGGACAGTGAGAGAGAGAGAGACAGAGAGAAAGGTCTTCCTTCCATTGGTTCACCCCCTAATGACTGCCGCAGCCGGCGCACCGCACTGATCCGATGGCAGGAGCCAGGTGCTTCTCCTGGTCCCCCATGGGGTGCAGGGCCCAAGCACTTGGGCCATCCTCCACTGCACTCCCAGGCCACAGCAGAGAGCTGGCCTGGAAGAGGGGCAACCGGGACAGAATCTGGCACTCCAACCAGGACTAGAACCCGGTGTGCTGGCGCCGCAGGCAGAGGATTAGCCTAGTGAGCCGAGGCACCGGCCAATGACTTTCCAATAAACAAATTAATTAAAACACACACATCTTCTGGAAACCCACACCTGGGGAAGATGTCTCACACAGAATGCACTGAGTGTGCAGAGCAGGCTACAGAAGGCTGTTCACAAAGTGACCTTAATTTTAGATGTCACGTGTGTGTGCACAGAAGTTGCAGAGGAAGCACACAGCGCCAGCAGGGCTCCGGGCTGTGGCCGCCGTGGCAGCTCCAAGTTCTACACTGAACACCAGCCTCTCTGCCACAGCCACCCCGTTCTCTCTCGAGGGACGCCCCTCCCTCGACACACCCTCCAATCCACGGCTCAGCTCGGCACTGCACGGGCGGCCTGGGCCATCTCCCCGGCCGTGTGAACCCCAGCCAAGGAGGGTGGCTCTCAGCACTGGCGCCGACGCTAACACAAAGAGGGGGCCTCTTCCAGGAGGCTGCCGAGCTGGGAGGCCCACGGGCCCAGGAGCTGCCGGAGCCTGCCTCGAATGAGGTCAACCAAGAGAAAAGTGGAACATGGAGAGGGAGGGAGGGGTGGGACGGGGGAGCAGGTGCTTGGGAAGAGAAACTCCGGGTGGCGCAGTTTGAGCGCCTGGGTGCAGCCGCACCTGAAATCACCTGGTTACCCATGGGCCACGCAAACCTCCCGCTGCCTTTTCCTAAGTCAGTTTGCAGGGCGGGGAGGGGCAGGGGGGTCCATCCCTTAAAATCCAAAGAAAGACAAATTTTCACCACCACCAGGATAATGCACAGATCGGCTGCCCAGCAAGCTCAAGACGACGGACCACACGATCTTCCCACGGTTTCTGAGAAACGCGGATGAACAAACCACGCGATCGTGGCGAGGGGGTGGGGCGGGGGCTGGAGCCTGACAAGCCCCAGGGGGCGGGGGCGGCCCCGCGGCCTCACCTGCCGCCTCCTGGCTCCTGCGCTGCAGCTCCAGCTCCGCGATCTCGCTCAGCAGGGTGATGCCATGTAGGAAGCTCTGCTCCAGCGCCAGGCTCGGGGCCGCGGCTTCCGGCTGCTCCGAGGCCGGGGCCGCGTCGGCCGGGGACGGCAGGGGCCTGGCCTGGGGCAGCTCTGCGGCCGCAGCCAGGGCGTTCATGCCGGCCAGCGGGTCCTCCAGGCCAGGCAGGAACTGGTCCGAGCTCACCTCTTCCAGGTAGCAGCCGCCACCGGGCACAGGTGCGGCCTCCTGAGCTTCCAGGCCCAGGCACTGCGCCTCCCTGGCGGGCACGTCGCAGTCTGACAGTTCTAGGTCGGCCCGGGGCTCGCTCAGGCCCTCCTCGGGCCCTGCCTCCGCCGTGGGCACCTCCACCGGCTCCTCCTTGGCCTCCACGAGCGTCTCGGGTGTCAGCCGGCTCCCCAGCTCCAGGGCGGCCGCGCAGGACTCTGTCCGGCCCGGCAAGTCCACCTGCGCTTCGGCCCCTTCCGCAAAATCTGGGCACTCTGGGGGCTCCACACGGCTCTGGCTGGCGGCACTCAGCGCCTGGGCCTCCAGCAGGCCGCCCCCACAGCTGCCCGCGGGGCTCGCGGCCACCATGGCGTCCGCGGCGGGCAGGGCCAGCGGCGACTGCAGGTGCGGCAGCTCAGCCGGGCCCTCGTCCTCGTCCTCCACCTCGGCCTTCACCTCCCTCGCGGTCAGGGGGTCTTCCTCTGGGCTCTCCCGCAGCGGCTCTGGCATGGCGGAGGGTGACAGGCGGATGGGCTTGTCCTCGGGCGAGAGCGCCAGGCGCTCGGGCCCCTCGGCGGGAAGCGGCACGTCGGGGGCCAGGCCGTCTGCGTCGGAGGCCGCCGTGGGCTGCAGCAGGAAGGGGTAGGGCCTGCCGTAGTGTGGGGGCAGGGCTTGAAACGGGTACCTGGGCGGGATGTCTGTGGAGGACACAAGGTCGGCGTGTCAGGGGGCTGTCTCTACCACCCCCACCCTCCCCGCCACGGGACAGGGCCCAGGCCGCGGCCTGGCTGCTGCACGGTGCAGCTCCTCCCCAGCGCTGAGCTCTGCACGTCTAGGCCCCAGGGGTCTTGCACACCCCAGGGCAGAGACTGCCCCTCCCCACTCAGGCCGAGCAGGAGCAAACACAACACTTGGTCTGCCCCAGCCTGTGTCCCCGGCCTCCACCGAGGTAAGTGCCCAAAGGCTAGGGCCCCACAGCCCCCCAAAGCGACAGTCACCCTGAGAGCAAGCTGTCCCGCTGCGCCACACCCAGTCGGGCTCGCACTCGGAGGGGCCCTTGAGGACGTGGAGAGCGAGGTCGGACCACCCCCGGGCCAGGCACGCACCCAGCGCCCAACACCAGCATCACGCCACATCCCACAGGGACGGGCGGCCACCTGCCTGAGCCCACGCGGCGTGGGTGCCGAGCTGTGCAGAGTGCACGTTCCCGCTAATACCCCCGGAGAGGAGGACACACAGCCCTTGGACCGGGCAGGCAGCACGCGGGGAGGGGTGGGATCACTGGGCGCCAACTGAGCGCCGAGTGAGTGACAGGCCTAGCTTGGTTGAAGCAGCACACGGGCCCCGCTGGGGTGGGGGCTAAGGCAATCCCTAGGTTCCCTGACCCCAAGCAGGGCTAGAGAGACCCATGAAGGCCCCCTGCATTCACTCCACAGCTAGGCAGCACGCCCGGTACACAGCAGGTGCTCAGCAGAGACCACGGATTGGCCTGACAGCCCGAGCCGGGCCTGTGGGGGGGCAGTCCCAGCCCCGCGCCTACCTGAGAACAAGGCCTGGAAGGGGCTGGGGGCTTCCTTCTCCAACTCCAAGTCTTTCTTCTCCACCACGTTCTCTGGTGCCTCCTCCTTGCGGGTGATGCCGGGCGCCGGGGGCGGGGAGGCAGGCGGCGGGCTGCTGGGGTGGGAGCTGGGTGTGGCGGGGTAGGCGTAGGTGGGCGGCTTGGACACGTCCTCCAGCTTCTGGATGACCTTGGCCTTGAGGGCGGCCACGGGGGACGCGCGGGGAGACGGCGGCGGGCTCACGGCCTTGCTGTACGCACCCGCGGGGCCGGTGGCCAGGCTGGGGGGCTTCCGAGGCAGCAGCCCGGGCCCTGCGGCGGCCAGGCCAGCTTTGCCCGCGGCATCCAGGCTCCGTTTGCTCACCTTCTCCTCCATCTCGGCCCGGTGCTCCTGGGCCTTCAGCCGCTCCTGCTGGTGAGGGGCCGGTGGCGGGGTCAGGGGCCAGCAGGCACAGCGCAGCGCCTACCGGGCCCCAGGGTCCCCACACCCGGGGCAGAACCTCAGGGCAGAGCCCGGGGGCTGGGCCGCCCACCCACACCCAGGCCCGGGATGGCCATTCCGTCACGGCACACGTGTAACAAGTACGGCGTTCCCTGCGGAACCCCGGCGGGCAGGGGCGGGGGTTGGAGTGGGGCACGGAGTCCACAGCTTCTGGAGGGGTGGGTCTCGTGGCCGGGGTGGAGACGTGGGCTCCCCGAAAGACCACGAAGCTGTCCACTGCCCCGGTCCCTCCGTGGCACTAGGATCCCTGGCCTGGCCGGGGCGCAGGGCTCACTGCCTGCTTCGCTGCTCCACCTCCTTGGAAATCCCAAAGAGGCCAAAGACGGGCCAGGTGCGGTGGGTCCAGCCAACACCTGCAAGGCTGCAAGGCCAGCGTCCCATAGAGGCGCCAGTCAGAGTCCCAGCTGCTCCACTTCCGATCCAGCTCCCTGTTAAGGTGCCTGGGACAGCAGCAGAGGATGGCCCACATCCATGGGCCCCTGCACCCGCATGGGAGACCCGGCTGGAGCTCCTGACTCCTGGCTTTGGCTTGGCCCAGCCTCAGCATTGTGGCCCCTTGGGGAGTGAACCAGCGGCTGGAAGACCTCTATCCCTCCTTCTCTGTAACTCTGCCTTTCAAATAAATCAATCTTAAAAAAAGAAAAAAATGTGCTTTGACAAGGCATCGGGAGTAAGTGAGCTGGGCCAGGCCCGGCAGAGCTGAGATTAAAACCCAGAGCCGGGCACCCTGAGAACTGACCCATCCGTGGCCACGGCACCCGGCAAGGGGTTGAACAAGGCCCAGCAAAGAACATTCCAGAATGTCCTCAAGGAGGCCAAAGGGGAGTCCAACCTCACCAGGGGAGCCCTCGTGTCCCCTCTCTCATGGGGTCAGACAACCGGGTGTCCCCCGGAGACAGGAGGCCAGGCCGGGGTCAGGCAGCAGCAGGAGCCCACTGGCTCCCCCAGTCCACAGGACCCCTGTGCCTCTGTTTCCTGTTGCTCCTTAGGCCCCACCCCTGAGCCTCTGCACACGCTGCTCCCTCTGCCTGAAGGGCTGTTCCACGCTGACCGCTCCGGTCTCTGCTCAGACGTCACCTACTCCAGGAAGCCGGCCTGCCTCCCAGGTCCCCCCCCCCGCCTCCCCCCGCTGCCCAGAGTTGCTGTTCAGAGCTCCCGCAGGCATGGACCAGGGCCGGGCGGGGGCCGGGGGAGCCCTGACTCACCACCAGCTGGGTGCTCCGCTGCAGCTCCAGGGCCTGCGCCGCCTGCTGCTGCAGGTACAGGAACTCCTGTTGCCGCAGGAAGTGCTGCTGGGAGAAGAGCTGCAGCTGCTGGGCGTGGTGCAGGGGGCTGCGGCCAGGGGGGTACAGCGCGGGCCAGAGGGGCGGCACCGCGGCCCGCTCCATCAGCTCCGCTGCGGGAGACACACAGGGCTGGACACTCCCTCCCACCCCGCCATCCCGCGCCACAGAGCTGGGGCCCAGAGGCAGGGACTCGGGGCAGCCCCAGCCCAGCCCCAGGGAGCAGCGGGTTTCGCCTCAGGGGAGCTCCTACGAGGGCCAGCTCCCAGCAGTCCCCGGGGGTCTGCGAAGTGGGCTCCCCAGGGGAAGGCAGAGCTCGGTAGGGGGCTCAGGTCCCGTTGAAGCTCAGAGAAATCAGGCCCCACCCACCACCCAAGCACCCCCTTACCGAAGTGAGGCAGGTGGTCGCTGGGGATGACCACCAGCTGGCCCGACTGGGGGTCCCGCACAAACTGGTAGGCCGAGGGCAGGGAGCCCCCCAGGCCCGGGGGGAACGCAGGCGCCACGCCCTGGTGCAGAGACGGGGGGCCCAAGCCTGGGAGGAGAGACTCAGGTGAGCGTCAGGGCCGGGAGGGCCCACCTCCCACCCCTGCGTCTGGCCTCGCCCCCAAGGCCAGCTACTGCCCATCCTTCAACCCCCTGGGGCTGCCGGCAGGGAGCCGAGGGGTCAGGCACTGGCTGACAGCAGAGACCCACAGGGCTACCTCCTGCGGGACAGATGCCACTCAGCCCCGTCCCCACCCCACCCCCGTGGGGAAGGCAGGAGGCCTGGGCCAGGCCCCAGCCACGGGGACCCAGGAGGCAGCTCTGAGCTCCGGTCCCCGCACCCAGCACCTTCCCCGCCCGCCGCCCCACGAGGGGCCCCACGCTCACCATAGGGGTGTCCGGCGAGCCACATGGGCGTGCTGCCCGAGCGGGGCAGCCAGGGGTGTGCAGCCAGGTGGGCCGCGGGGTCGGTGGACCAGCGTCCGGAGCCCGCCAGGGCAGGGCCGCCGGTCACCATGAGGTTGGGGTTCAGGCCGTTCGGGGCGCAGCTGGTGGGGTGCAGGCGGGCCAGGTCGGCCAGCTCCTTGCTTTCTCTGGAGGGGGGACAGAGGCATCAGGAGTTGGGAAGGTGACAGGGGCATGGCTCCGAGGACTCAGGCCCACCCCAGGGCTGGCAGGAGCCGCCCGGCCCGATGCACGGGACCGGAGTCCTGAGCCAGGCCGGCAGCAGCTCTCAGGACCACCCGGCGGTCAAGGGGTCAAGGGGTCAGCCCCACCCAGCCCTCACCGGAGCAGTTTCTCCTGATCCCGGTCCAGCCGCGCCCCCAGCAGCCGCTCCTCACGGTGCCTGGCCCGGTCGTCCCCGCAGTCCTCGTCGGCTCGGCCGTGCCCTGCAGGGGGGCCCAGTGACGGTGACCCCCAGCCGGCCGGAGCAGTGCAGGGGCCCCCAGCTCCGCTCGCCCTGCCGCCCCTGCCTGAGCCCCTGCGAACCTCCCACCACCAGCAGCACCCTGCGGCTCACCAAGCCCCCTGCAAGCCCCACGAACGAGTTAGCACCAGGATGCCCCCTCCACCACACCCCCCGCCGAGAGCCCGCCTGTCCCCCATGGCCGTGACAAGGCCCGCCACGGCCGTAGTGGAAGGCATCTATCACGTCCTATACGTCTACGGAACACGAGGCCGGCGTCGCTCCCTGGCACTGCTTCAACGGCGAGGAGGGGCTTGGGGGGCACGGGCTGAGGCTCCCCAGAGCCCCAAAACGCGGCACCACCATTCAGCACCGCCAGCCACGCAGGTCTGCCTGTGCGCGATGCTCACTGCTCAGGAACCGAGTCCCCCAAACGCCGACCACAGAGGGGCGGTGGCCGCGGCCCCAGAGGGAGACGCCACCCGCTGTCCTGTCCCTGCCCCTGTCTGCGGCCAGCCCTGCTGCCCACCCCCACGAGCAGAGGGGGTTCCCCACCCCAGGCCTGGCCAGAGCCGGGCACCAAAGGGGAGGGGACAGCGAGCAGAAGCGGCACAGAGCCCACGGAGACAGGGCACGTGTCCCCCACTGTCCCTCCCCGACTCCCTAATTGGGCGTGAAGTCCACGAGCCACAGTGCCCGCAGGCCTGAGAGGCAGGGCCCGCTGGTCGGCTCCACGGGCGGGCTCAGCGGGAGCCTCCACCGGCCTGGGCAGCCCTGGCCCAAGGGCCCAGCCAGCACCGCGAGCAGCCGTCCTGGGAGGGAGACATGAGGCCGCTGCCAGGACCTCCACACACGACCCTCGTGGGCAAAGGCCCCACGGCGGGCCAGCACGCATCGCCATTCCTGCAGAGTAGAGCCCCCCCACACCCCGCCACCGACCCCGGAGGCCGGGCCTCTACCTCTCCCTCCAGGAAGAGAGAGGTGCAAACCAGCAGCCCCAGAAGCAGACGTCAGAGCAGGGCCCAGCCACGCCAACCCAGACACCCGACAGGGCAGCCAGGTGCGTGTGGGCCGGGGGCGGCGCCACAGGCGGCCAGAGCCTCCAGGGCCTTCCAGCCGGGGCCCGGGGGTCCCTCTAAGCAGTGCCGGGGTGCTCGGCGGGGCAGGGCGGGGTCGGGCAGGCGAGGGAGCCGTCTATCTCCGTCTCCCCTGGGGGCCGAATCGGGGCAAGGGGCACCCCCGGCTGCAGACTGCCCCCTTCTCCCGCAGGCCATGGCCAGCAGGGGCGCAGGGCAGAGGCGCCATTGGCGCCAGCACGGGTCGGACAGAGGAGGCAGGAGGAGTGGGTGCAGGTGAGGCCCGGCCGGGGCGCCCCTCGGCTCCAGGCCTCCACGAGGGCAGGGCTCGAGTCCACCTGCCCCCTGCAGGTAGGATGACCACGTCCAGGCACGGGCAGGACGAGGAGGGACCCCGGGGTAAACTGGGGAGCAGAAGAGCAGCTCAGGCACGGCAGGGCAGGGAGCCCCCAAATCCCCCCCACACACACACAGATGGGCTAAGAATCCAGAGCCTGGACCAGGGAGACGGCGGCCTCGGGCAGTGGATCTGCCTGAGGAGGTCCCGCCTGAGCCCACTGCGCCCCCTGTAGTCCAGGACAGCTTTGGGTCCAGCGTTCCCGGCGTCCCCCGTAAGTGGCAACACAGCTGGGCTGGGCCCCCAGCCCTCTGTCCTCCCCGCTGGTCTGGCTGTCCTGGCACGGGGTCTCAGGGGCCTGCTGGACCCCAGCCCTCTGTCCTCCCCGCTGGTCTGGCTGTCCTGGCACAGGTTCCAAGCACCTGCCACCCTGGGGCCACTCAGGCTGGGCCCCGAGCCACTCCCTGCAAACCTGCTTGGCCTCCCGATGGGACAGCCAGGCTCCCCTCCAGCTAGGCTCAGTCCAAGGATCTGCGCTAGCCTGGCTCGGGGCCACGACAGCCTCTGGGTAACACACCTGCAGCAGGGGTGAGGCCCAGCCAGGGCAGACTTCCGCCTGCTCGGGTCCCAGGACAAACAGGGAGGTGTCAGGCCGGCGCTGCGGCTCACTAGGCTAATCCTCCACCTAGCAGCGCCGGCACACCGGGTTCTAGTCCCGGTTGGAGTGCCGGATTCTGTCCCGGTTGCCCCTCTTCCAGGCCAGCTCTCTGCTGTGGCCAGGGAGTGCAGTGGAGGATGGCCCAGGTGCTTGGGCCCTGCACCCCATGGGAGACCAGGAAAAGCACCTGGCTCCTGGCTCCTGCCATCGGATCAGCGCAGTACGCCGGCTGCAGCGCGCCGGCCGCGGCGGCCATTGGAGGGTGAACCAACGGCAAAAGGAAGACCTTTCTCTCTGTCTCTCTCTCACTGTCCACTCTGCCTGTCAAAAAAAAAAATAAAAATAAATAAATAAAAAAAACAGGGAGGTGTCACAGGTGGCACTGGGGTCTGAGTGGGTCTCCCCCACCTTGGGACCCCCACACATGCCACTCCCCTCACCCAGAGTGCCCTTCCTCTAGACAACTCAACCTCAGCTTCAGATGCCACCTCCTCCAGGCAGCCCTCCCTGACCAGCCTCCTCTACCATGGTCCCCTTGCTGTCTCCCCTCATAGAACACTGACTCACTCCCTCACTGACATCCTGCTTGTCGGCTGTCTGCCTCTCCCCAACCCCTGACACAGGGACAGGAACTGGACGAGGGAATGGGTCCCTGTGGGCATGAGGGAGACAGGCAGAGGGAACCGTGGCAAGGAGCAGCACAGAGTCCACGGCGGGTGGCAGGGACAGGAGACGAGGTCACAGAAAGGGTGCAGGAAGGGGCTGTGGCTCACTTTGTCCAGGGTGACACGGGGGCCTGGGGCACCTGACCGAGGCTCCCGGCACCTCCTATCCCTGCTGAGTCTGGGCTGGGTACCAGATGCCCTCCCCGGAACCCCTCCAGGGGGGAGCACCCAGCCTGGCAAGGGCCAAGCAGCCAAAGCCTGGTTGCCGTGGCAACCCCCAGCCACCATCCCGGCGTCGGGGCATCTCGGGCCTCCTCCATCCGGGGCAGTAGACAGAGGCCATGGGATGGAAACCAATGCATCGCCAGCACCTGTGCAGTGTCCCCTGCCCCGGCTCTGCCCAATGGACTAGCCCAGTGGGGACGCCCTCGGCCCACTGCCACCCCCCGGACCTGGTCCCAAACCCGCCTCCAACCACAAAGGTGACAGAAAAGCAGAGGTGAAGAGCAAGCCCCAGCTACAGGTCGTGCTCCGGCCCGCCTCAGCCCCACCGGCCTCAGTCTCCCCATCTGTGAAGGGGGAGGGTTCTCGCGGCAGGCATCCATGGCAGGGGGCACTTCACGGTCCGGCTAATCGGCTGCTTGGCGGACCTGGGGCTCCCAGGGGCAGGTGACCCACACCCAGAGCCCAAGGGACACCCCCAGCCGCTCTCCAAAAGGAGGGCCCAGGGTTCCTGCACCGTCACACGCTCTGCGCCCCGATACCTGGGAGGCAGCGGCCTGGGGAGGCACCTCCTGGGAGCCATCAGCCGACCCAGGCTCAGGGCCCAGGCGGTCCCAGCTTCCTGTTCAAGGTCACCCAGCCCCACACGGTGGAGCCAGGGTTGGAGTCCACGGACAGAGGCAGAGGGCACCCCTAAGACCGCAGACGTGGGGAGACTTGGAGGAGGCTGGGGGAGGGGCGGGCACGCGCTACACAGGTGTCTGGAGCCCCTAACTCCTTCCTCCCTCCAAGGAGGGGCCGGGTGGCCTGGAGAAGCAGCGGCCCGGAGGCGGATTCAGAATCCGGCCACTTTTCCACCATTAGCATCAGCAAAAGCAGCTCCGAGCAAAGCCCACGCCGTGAGGGCGGGCACACCGCAGGGCCTGGGTTCCGGTCTCGCCCCCTCGGCCTCAGGTCCAGCTCCCTGTTAATGCCCCCCCTGGGAGGCAGTGGGAGACGGCCCAGGTATTTGGGCCCCTGCCACCCACAAGGGAAACCCCGAAGGAGTTCCAGGCTCCTGACTTCCGCCTGGCCCAGCCCCAGCTGTTACAATCACTTGGGGAGTGAACCAGCAGATGGAAGCCATCTCTCTCTCTCATATACTCTTTGCCTTTCTACCAAATAAATAAATAAGTCCTTAAAAGAAAGAAAGAAAAGCTCGGAACATATCCTCCCGGTGCTCTCTCTTGCGTGTTCTGCTGCACACATGTTCCCACAATGCCACGGACACAGGTACTCAGCACCCCAGGATGCCTCTGGATGCCGTGAGCCCCCCAAAGAGGCGGACGCCACCCTCGCAATAGCATCCATGCAGAGGGCCTCCCAGGGAGGCACGGACCCCAGCCTCCGAGCCAGAGGCCTGTCCACCACTGAGCTGGCCACCGCCATTCAAAGGGCTGCTGCCCACTCTTCCCGCTCCAGAGTAGGGAAAAGCTTTGTGCACAGCACCCACGGACAGAGGGCGGGGCTCCCCCAACTTCAGGGGACCCTGGGCAGGGCGATGGGGTCGTTCCACCAATCAGCAACCTTCGCTAAGCCTCACTCACCCTGAACCATCTAGGCTGGGAGGAAAGGAGCAGGCGGGGTCCCACCTCCCGACTCAACATCCACACCCTCGAAGGCTGCCGCCGGCTCGGACGGGCACAGGCCACGTCAGAGGCCGCTGCAAGAAGAGGCCCCAGCCAGGCACCAAGCGCTGCCGCTGGAAGGCACAGCACGAGCGGGGGCATCAGTGGGTGTGCCAGCGACAGCACTAGGAGGAGCGGGCCTGAGAGCCCTCCCCAGAACGGGGTGGGGGGAGGCAGCAGCACGAAAGGGCAACCAGAGGACGCTCTGCAGCCACAGTGGGCACAGGCACGGGCCAGGGCAGCCCGGGCCTCACAGGGCCCTTCCAGGAAGGACGCTACGGAGCAGGGACCAAGGGCAGACACAGGGCCAGGCCCAGGGAGGTGGGAACCTAGGAGATGTGCACCCCAGGCGCCCAGGCAGCAAAAGGAGCACGCTCTGTGGGCCAGGCACGTGCTCACAGCAGGTGGACACGGGGACAGAGGCCCAGTGTCGAGAAGCCACCTGAACAAGGAGCAGCTGGACCGGGTCTCCCAGGCCCTAACCCCGCCTGCCGGCCACACACGCAGGCACACGACACGCAGCCTTGCCCCTGGGCTGCGGCAGCCTCAGCAACAGGCTCTGTTCTGTTCTGGGCACACCAGGCCCCGCGTCCCAACAAATGGGCCCAAAAGTCAACTCCCCAAAGTCCCGGGAGGGACCCACCAAGGCAGTGCGTGCCGCCAGGGACCCAAAACCCAAGCCAGCCACCAAGGTGCGGAAAAACAGCCAGCCTCACGGCCACTCAGGCCAAGGCCACTCCTCCTCGCTGAAAGCAATGTTTATTTATTTATTTTTTTGACAGGCAGAGTGGACAGTGAGAGAGAGAGAGAAAGGTCTTCCTTTGCCGTTGGTTCACCCTCCAATGACCGCCGCGGCCGGCGCACCGCACTGATCCGAAGCCAGGAGCCAGGTGCTTCTCCTGGTCTCCCATGGGGTGCAGGGCCCAAGCACTTGGGCCATCCTCCACTGCACTCCCTGGCCACAGCAGAGAGCTGGCCTGGAAGAGGGGCAACCGGGACAGAATCCGGTGCCCCAACCGGGACTAGAACCCGGTGTGCCGGCGCCACAGGCGGAGGAGGATTAGCCTAGTGAGCCGTGGCGCCAGCCTGAAAGCAATGTTTAAACACACGCGTGTGTGAGCACACACAGGAAGCACATGCAAGTAAACACAGGCAGATGCTGCTAACAGGTACAAGACGCTCCTGGCCAAGCGGTCACTCAGGCGTTCGAGGGCAGGACCCCGAGGGATGACCAGACCTGGCTTTCCCCTAACTTACCCGCTCACCCGTTTCTCAAACATCTACTCCGTGCCAGGTCTCGCACCTGCTGGGCTCTGGCGGCACGGACACAGGTACGGCACAGCGGCCTCCTGCGGCACTGAGAACCGGGGTCTGAGTCTACTCTACTCCTAGGAACCGCTACTCTCAGGTAATGACTCAAAACACAGCCAAGCGCCGGTTCGAGTCCAATCTGATCCAGCTCGCTGCTGTGGCCTGGGAAAGCAGTGGAGGATGGCCCACGTCCTCGGGCCCCTGCACCTACAAGAAGCTCCTGGCTCCTGTTGGGCACAGTTCCCACCGCTGCGGCCATCTGAGGAGTGAACCAGTGGATGGAAAACCTCTCTCTCACTCTGCCTCTCTCTAACTCTGCTTTCCAAATAAATAAACAAGCCAAGAAAAAAAAAAAACACTCATCCACTCACCGCGACCCTCGGAACACAGACCACCACGAGGCGGGAAACCAGAATGCCCACTGCCTGAGCTGCGGTACGGGCTCTCAGCAGACTATCCGCAGCCGTAACACGGTGCTGCTACCACGCGTTTGCCACGGCCCAACACACATGTGCACGGCAAGACGAACTCGGGGAAAGCCGGCAAAGCGCCCAAGGTGTTGAGGAGATGGAATGTTCTAGACCTTTCTGGCATTTTCTGCACCGCTCTATTTCCAAACCGCACTGAACTTCCCATCGCGGCCACAGTGCATGGGTAGGGCAAACGCAAGCCAGGGCCAGCCGGCGTGGACGTACCTTTGACGGTGTTCAGCGACAAGGATCGCTCCTGCTCCCCCAGGCCGGGCCCCAGCCGGCTACTGCCGCCGCTGTCCTTCTGCCGGGCCACGGCCACGGCGATGCCCACCGGCGGGTGCCGCACTTCAACCTCGCCCTGGGCCCCAGAGCCATCGCGCCCGAAGGCCTTGGTGCTCTCGGGCCTCTCCGGGTCCCGCTTCAGCTGCCGGCCGCTGCCCGCCGCGGCGGGGCCGCCGGGGTGCGGCAGGCGGGCCTGGGCCCGGGGTGCGCCCGCAGACGTGGGCGCCGGCTCGGGCTTCATGGTGCCCAGGCCTCCAAACGGGCTCTTCTTGCCGCAGCCGCCGGGGCGCACCGCCACCGCCTCGCGCGCGAAGCTGCCGCTGTACTTGATGAGGCTCTGCATGGCCGAGGCCTCTCCGGGCGCGTGCGCCGCGGGGTGCAGGTCAGCGCCTGGCCGGCCGCAGGGCGCCGAGGCGCGGGGCAGCGCCGCCCCCGGGTCCAGGTAGGCCTTCTTGGAGGCGGCCCCCACGGCCTCGTCCTCGGCGCGGCCGGCGTGGTGGTGCTGTGCGGCCAGCACGGCCATCTGCGTGGTGGCGAAGTTGCCCAGTTCAAAGGGCTTCCACTTGGGCTCGGGCCCCGTGGGCGGGGGCGGCCGCCCAGGCTCCAGGCCGAAGAGCTTGGCGGCCTGCTGGGCGGCGGTGGCCGGGCCGCGGGGCACGCGCTCGCAAGGCCGCGGCTCCGCCTCGGGCCGCAGCAGCTCCTTGGCGGGCAGATAGGTGCGGGGGTCCGGGGAGGCGCGCGCGGTGCGGGCCGGAGGAGCGTCGGCGGGCGGCGGCGGCCGCTTGAGCGAGCGGATGACGGAGTTCTTCTCGCGCAGGGCCTCGGGCCGCTCCAGGGGCCGCGGGGAGCCGGGGGGCGCCTGCAGGACGCCCGGCCGGGCCACCTCGCGCTCCCGCGCGCGGGCGTGGGCGTGGGCGTCGCGCGCCTGGGACGCGATCTGGATGGGCCCGGCGCGCTCGTCGAAGGCCTCCACGGAAGGCACAAAGGTGGGCGCCACCACGCGGTGCTCCCGGCCCGGCTCGCGGAACACGGTGTAGACGCCAGCGGGCGCGGAGGCGGGGGGCGCGGGCGGGCCCTTGGGCGGCGGTGGGGGCGGCGGCGGGGGCGGGGGCAGCGGCGAGGGGCAGGGCCGCGGCCCGGGCGGCAGCAGGGCCTCCGCACGCCGCAGCAGCCGCGCGCTCTCGTCCTGCCGGGCCGCCTCCTTGGCGCCGGCGCGGCCCGACTCGGCCACCAAGGCGGGCAGCCCCGGGTCCCCCGCGCCCTTGCCCTTGGCCTCAGCCAGGAAGGGGGACAGGCGCTCGGCGAGGCGCGGGGGCGCGCGGTCCTGGCGGCCGTCGGCCCGCGCCTCCTGGGTCAGGTCCACCACGCGCGCCGCCTCCTCACGAGCCCGCGGGTCCTTCTTGCCGAAGAGCGGAGGCGGCTCCCCGCCGCGGCCCGCGCGCTCTTTGGCAGGTCCTTCCCGGGAGGACGACGAGGATGAGGAGGAGGACGAGGACGAGGAGGCGGAGCCTTTGGCTGGGGCAGCCGAGGAGGAGTGGCCCCCGGGGGTCCTTGAGGAGGGCGCGTGAGAGTGCAGGGCGCTGGGCGCTCCGGGGGCGGCCAGGTAGAAGCCGTCTGCAGAGAGGGGTCCCACAGTGAGCCAGAGGACTTCACCCCCAACCCGTCCCGGGGCCCCAGGAGCAGTCTCCCATTTGCCAAAGGACAGAGGCCAGGGGTGTTGTTTTAAAAGCTGCCCAGAGGCCCAGCAGAGCTAAACAAGGAAAGGAAGTGGCGAAGGTGCCTGGAGGCCATCGGCAGGCCCCCAGGGAGGCTGTGCGGGCCCCTTGGGGCTAGGGTCTCCAAACAGCATCGCAGAGAGGGTCTAGGAAAATACAGCTGGGATCTGAGACACCCCAACCCCTCCTAGGAGTCTCCGCAGCCGCCCTCTCCCATCCCCCAGCCCCCCTCTCACCTTTCTGGGCATCGAAAATGCTGGGCTGGCCCAGCTGGCTGAGGAGGGGGCTCCCACTGCTAGGGGGCTCCAGGTGGTTCAGGTGGAGGTAGGATGGGCACAGCCCGCTGGGCATGTGGGAGAAGCCTGCAAAAGAGGGGGGAAACCGGGCTGGTTTTCACAGACCGCCGACTGGTCTGAACGGGGCCCCTTCTCTGCTGTGTGACCTGGGCTCGTCACCTGTCTTCTCTGAACCTCACCGCACCCAGCCTCTCTCTGGCTGCCCAGGAGGAATTCCTCCTACCAAGGGTCCTTCCCAGCCCCTCACCAGTGCTGCCCGGAATCAGGGCGCTGTGGGACAGACAGGAACAGAAGCAAGCCCTCTAGGGACATGGGGAGTGATGGCTTCGCAAAGTTAGGTGGCCAGGCGCCCGGGCAAGGGTCCTGATGCTCTGCGCCTGGGCACAGGGAACCCCGGGCCCACGGACACCCCTGAGGGACCCAGGTACCCCAGGCCTCCAGAGTGCCCTCAGGCTGGGGTCCTCTCCCCCAGCCTCATCTGACTGCCGTCAGCAACAATCACAGGATGCAAGAAGCCCCAGACAGAGGTGTTCCGATGCTGGCACACAGGCAGCGGGCCTCTGCCCTCTCATCTGTCCAAGGGGTACAACAGTCCCCACAGTGTCCCACAAGCTCATCAGGTCCACAGCACCTGGGGCGAGGTGGCGGGGGGAGGAGCCTCAGGGCTGGATGGTGGCACAGCAGGGCCCTGCCCCTGGCTAACAGGGCCAGGAAGGCCTGGCCAAACCCCCACTTCCTGCAGAGGCAGGGCCCCACGCAGGGGGCCTCCACAGGACTTCCCCAGGGAGCCGGGCAGAATGGCCTGGGGGCTTTCCTGTTATGGGAGCAGCACTTTAAAGACTGGACGGGGGTCCTACGACCAGGTGGAGCCCCCAGCCCAGGGGGGTGCACCCAGCCCTGCAATCTGGCAGAACCTAGCGGGGCCCACAGGAGGAACCCGGGGGACCTGAACCTGGGCAGCCACGATGCACAGCCAGGGGAGAGATGGGGGTGGGGGGCAGGGCCTCCAGGGTCTTTCCCAACAACGGGGAAGGAGACTCCAGGACTCACAGAGTTCAGCAACCCCCACAGAGACAAGGCTGCAGCAAGAGGGCCCTCTGCCCCCAGGGTTAGTAAATAAACCAGCCTCTAAGTGAGAAGGTGCGGCCAGCACACCAGGCCCTCAGGGCCCACACGGCCTGCCCCGGAACAGGGTGGGGAGAGGAGCAGGTGCGCTGAGCGGGCCAGCAGGTGGGTGGAGCTGCAGACAGGAGGGTAGCTGTGCAAAGACCCGGTGACAGCAGGGAACAGCAGTAAACGGAGGAAGGGCAGGGAAGTCAGGGGACCAGGGCTGACCCCACCAACCAGAGAGGAGGAGTAACCATGCTGGGGAGGGGGAGGCTGGCAGACTTGAGACGTGCTGGGGGGGGGGGGCCAGTGCTGTGGCATAGCGGGTAAAGCTGGCATCCCATATGGACGCCGGTTCAAGTCCCGGCTGCTCCACTTCCAACCCAGCTCTCTGCTGTGGCCTGGGAAGGCAGTAGAAGATGGCCCAAGTCCTTGGGCCCCTGCACCCGTGTGGGAGACCCAGAAGAAGCTCCTGGCTCCTGGCTTTGGATTGGCATGGCTCTGGCTGTTGCAGCCAATTGGGGAGTGAACCAGCAGATGGAAGAGCCCCCCACCCCCCCCCCCCCGCCTCTCTGTCTCTGTGTAACTCTTGACTTTCAAATAAATCTTTAAAAAAAAAAGTGCCAAGGCAAAAGGTGGTGGGGATGGCACCGGGCAGCCCCGCCCACCTGCCCACTCCTTACCTTCATGGGCGTGGGCTGCCCACAGCTGCACCATGGGCAGGTTGCTCGGGGTGGGCGAGCGGAAGGAGAGGTCAGAGGGCAGGGGCACCGGGCTCCCGTGGGACGAGGCTGAGGGGCCCATCCCGCTGGCCACGAAGCTGCCCAGGAAGGCCTCGCCTGTGGAGAGAAGGAGGCCATGAAGTCGCCGCCCCGAGACCCCCACAGCCCTGAACTGCACGGAGCTGACACAGGCATGATGGCCAGAGACGTCCCGCCCCCACAGCCCTGGCCCGCTGCCACCTCGGCCACGCCCTCAGGGAGGGTTCTGTGAGCCCGGATCCCCCTCCCAAGTCAGAGGGGGCGCCTACTCCCCACCCGCAAAGGGAAGTCTCAGGCAAGTGGGGGGCAGGGCTTCCCGGGGCCACAGAGACCGGGGAGGACACCCCGGGCCCACAGAGTGACTTCCGTGAGCTAGCCCACGTGCCCACTGCATAGCCCAGGAAGGTGAGGCTCACGGATGGGTGAGCTCCCTCGCGGACAAGGGTGCACGGGGCAGGAGCCGTGCCCGGAGGGGAGGGGCCCATCCCTCCAGCGAGCCAGGGTCCCCACTAGCAAGGGCCGAGCTGACCAACTGCCACTTGGGGGGACCATCCAGATAGGCTGGGGCCCGGATGGGAGCCACACCCACCCCGTCCAGCCCAGCTGACTAACTGGCTACCCACACTCAACAGGACACCTCTCCGCTGCCACCAGGGGCTCGGCCCCACCAGCTCCAAAGGAAGACGCTGGCAGGCCCTGGGGTCAGGGGCCAGAGGGAGACCTGGGACAAGGAGTTCCCTATCCATGCCTCAGTTTGCCAATCAGCAGAATGGGAATAAATACATCTGCCTTTAAGAACTGAAGGGGGGAGCCGTGCTGGATGATGGCAAACGACGGTAAGAACAGGCGGTGTATGACAGTAATGAGAGTCACCAACAGCAGCGGTGCCACTCCCGGAGAGCTGCCCCATCCTCTCGCCAGCACCCTTGGGAGGAGGTTGCCAAGCCCCAAACACAGGACTGGGCCCAGCGCTCACCCAGCCCCCACAGGGCCCCCGTGTGCCGCCACAGACACCCTCTCTGAGGCGCTGGCTGCAGCTGGCATACGGAAGTCAGGTGGCCTGGCATGTGGGGCTCTAGCGCCCAACCACCCCGGTCCAGAGCGCAGGGGGCTCACAGACCCCAGCCCCATCTTGGGGTGTCCAGAAGCCCGGTTTGCAGAGCCCACACAACACAGGCGCAAAGCGACCACCTCCTGGGACACGGGACCCCAAAACACCCGACCTGGCACCACCAGGGTATGCATGGGGGAACCCAGGCTGTGAGGGCCAGGGGCTCCGCCCCAGTCCCCCAGAACAGAGACAGAAGCAGGCAAGACAACGGGGGCCGCCGCCACCCGCCCCATCTGCCCCGAGCCACCACCGGGCCCGCCTCCCGCGGTCCAGCCCAGCCCCTCACCGGACTCCGGCGCCAAGCCCTCGGGCCCCAGGGCCATGGTGGCCTCTCGGTCCATCCATGCGGCCCACGCTGGGCCAGCAGGGCCTCTGGGCCCTGCCCGGCCCCAGGCTTCCTCCTCGCTGTGGCGGGCAGGCGGGCGGAAGGCTCCGGAAGCCGGCAGCCAGAAGTTTGCGCAAGGGCTTACATCAGCAGCCAGCTCTTCCTGCCCCGGGCCCACGGAAGCCCTGCAGCCGGGGCCTGCCCTGCCCGGGCTTGTGAAACCCGCCCTGAAGCAGCACCCGGGCCGCCCGCCGGAGCGTTGGGCCCGGATACCACCAACGGCCCCCGCCCACCACAGGTCCCAACGGTGCGAGAGCTCCCTCCTCCCTGGCTGGGTCAGGCGGCGGGGGATCCCCAGGGACAGGGGCAAGGCAGGGCCACTCTGGGCCCTGTTTACAGCTCTACAAAATGGGCGTGTGACCCCTGCTGGCCTGGCTTTGAGGACGGTGGCACTGATGGCCATGAACTGCCCGCCAGCCATGGCTGGACAGCGGCTGCCCAGTGCAGATCAGACTTCGCCACTCAGGCACCTGCTCCGCACCTGCTCCACCCCTCCCCACCTCCTTCTAGACCCCGCCTCGCTCTGCTGCCACCGTCCCTGACCCCCGGGGGTCCCGGCAGACCCAGAATCAGCCTGTGACAACGTGCAGGCACAGATCTGTGCACCCGGGTACTTACTGTCCGCCCCTCCCACCCTAGCCAGTTCCCTCCCCAGCAGCGGGGGCTCCGTGGCGGAATAGCAAGGATGCGTCACTTCTCACGCACACAGGCCCAGGGCAGCCCGTACCACAAGAGAAGAGAGAAAGGTAGCCCCTGACCCCCAAGAGGGGCCCCATAACCTCAATGAGGCTTCAGCAGCCTCAGGCTGTCCCCGCCCGTCTCCCCAGGCCAGGAGCAGACAAGCGCCCACCACCTGCCCCGCCACCGGGGTCTCCAGGCTGCTGGCTGAGTGGCCACAGTGGCCAGCCACCTTTCTCGGAGGCCAGCCCCCACCCCAGCCTGAGGCTCCACGCGCCCCTGGGACCCAGCAGGGGCTACCCAGGTTGACCCAGAAGGCAGCGACAGAGGGGTCAAAGCTCACCTGCCTGCCAGACTGTGTGAACCCCCCAAAGCTAAGCTGATGAGCTGAGTTGGGGGTCTCCTCCCCTCCCCGCTCCCACCCCGCCCCTTGGTGACCAGGGCTCTCCGTGCCACCTCTTTCGCCCTCTTGGCCTGGGCACCGCCAGCACTGACGCCACACCCCACATCCAGAGGGCCCGGCTCCCGTCCTGGCTTCCACTCAGACTCCGGCTTCCTGCTAACGTGCACCCTGGAAAGACTTGAGACGATGGCTCAAGTACCTGGGTCCCCGTCACCCACATGGGAGACCAGGAGTTCCGGGTGCCAGGCTGCAGCCTGACCCAACACCTGCTGTCACAGGCTCTTGGGGGATGAACCAGTAGGTAAACAAGCTCTTTTCTCTCTCTAATAACGTTCTTTAAAAGACTTATTTACTGGGGCCAGCATTGTGGCATAGGGAATTAAAGCCGCCTCCTACAGCGCCGGCATCCCACATAGGCACCGGTTCATGTCCCGGCTGCTCCACTTCTGATCCAGCTCCCTGCTAACGCACCTGGGAAAGCAGTGGAAGACTGTGGGCCCCTCTACCCATGTGGGAGACCCGGAAGACGCTCCTGGCTCCTGGCCCAGCCCCAGCTGTTAGGACCATTTGGAGTGTGAAACAGCAGACGGACGCATTCTCTCTCTCTCTCTCTCTCTTGATCTGTAACTCTGCCTTTCAAATGGCTAAAACTGTTTAAAAATATATGTATGTATTGGAAAAGCAGAGTTAGAGAAGGAAACCCAGAGAAAGCAAGCTTCAGTCCACTGGTTCACTCCCCACACAGCCAAAACAGGCCGAGGCCAAGCAGGAGCCAGGAGCTCAGAACTCCACACAGGTCTCCCACATGGGCGCAGGGGACAGGGACTTGGGCCATCTTCTGCTGCTTTCCCAGGTGCATCAGCAGAGAGCTGGAACGGAAGTGGAGCAGCTGGGACTCGAACTGGTGCCCATGTGGGATGTGGACATCATAGCAGCTTAACGCACTGGGCCACGGTGCCAGGGACCAAAATCAACAATTTTTAAAAACTAAAACCCAGGGCTGGCACTGTGGCGTAGCAGGTCAAGCCTCCACCTGTAGCACCAGCATCCCGTAAGGGCGCTGGTTGAAGCCCTGGCTGCTCCTTTTCCGATCCAGCTCCTTGCTAATGGCCTGGGAAAGCAGTGGAAGATGGCCCAAGTGCTTGGGCCCCTGCACCCGTGTGGGAGGCTCTGGGTAGCTGGCTTCGGTCTGGCTTCGGTCTGGCCCAGCTCTGGCCATGGCGGCCATTTGTGGAGTGAACCAGCGGAAGGAAGCTAAAACCATTGACTGTGGACACCACACACACACACACACACGCACGCACACACACACGTTCCTGATGGGAATGAACGCTGACCCGCTCCACGGACCCCGGCACAATGCAGGCTTAACCACTGCCCGCCCACCGGCTGAGACTGCTCTCCACCCCAGCCGTTCCTGGAGCAGACAACCGAGCCACACAGGCCTGCGGCAGGGGCGGGGCTGCGAGGGGCTCCCCAGCGGCAGACCAGGCTCTGACCACCTGCTGTGGGGGAGTCCCACGAGGGCCGCCAGGAGCCAAGAGGGGGGTCTTCCCCCTCGCCCCTTCATCCCCACCAAACCGGAGACGGCCTGTGTGTCCACCACGTGGAGGCTGCGTCAACAGTGACAGTGGAACCCCGGGATCTGAGCCATGCCACACGGGAGCTGCTGGCCCCCGGGGGAGGACTGAGACAGAGGGTTCCCGGGAGAGGGCACAGACACAAGCCCGGAGGGGACACCCGCGTGCCGGCGTCTCGGGGCAGCTGTCTGCGTTCCCCCAGGCTGTGTGATGCGGCCCATGTACGGACGATGCAAGCTCGTGTTTGCAGAGTGCGGAGCGTGCGGCGCGCGCCACGTAACGCCGGCTATTTCATTACTGCTCTGCCCCTATCAGCGGCCTCAGCTGCCGGTGGTCAACCACAGCCCGAAAATATTAAATGGAAAATTCCACCTCTCAAGAGAAAGAGGGAGGGCGATCCCGTCCAGCTAACTTTCATTAGGGCGTCTTGTAACGATTGCTCTGTTGCGTCACTCACAGCTGTTCTCCGCCCATGGGGGTTCAGCACAGGAACGGAACAGGGGGATCTGCAGGGGTCATCATCGGATCCAGAGTCCATGGGGGCGGGGCTTACCATGCGCTCAATGGGCTGGGGGCGGGGTACTGACTTACAAAAGCTGGGGCTCAGAGCAGCTAAGAAAAGGGTCTGAGGAAGACCACCTCCCAAGTATCACTTGTCCTTTTGTGAAATAAAAAATTAAATTTTGGGCTGGCGCTGTGGTGCAGCCACAGCATCCCATACGAGTGCTGGTTCAAGTCCCGGCTGCTCCACTTCCAATCCGGCTTCCTGCTAATGACCTGGGAAAGCAGCGGAAGATGGCCCAAGTCCCTGGGCCCCTGCACTCACATGGGAGACCCGGATGAAGCTTCTGGCTCCTGGCTTCAGCCTGGCCCAGCCCCAGCTTTTGCAACCATCCGGGGAGTGAACCAGCAAATGGAAGATCGACCCATCTCTCTCTGTGTCTCTCTCCTTCTCTTTCAAATAATAATCTTTTTTAAAAAATTTAATTGTGCGGGCTGGCATTGTGGCGTAACTAGCTAAACCACCGCGTGCAATACAGGCATCCCATATGCCCCCCTTCCGATCCAGCTCCCTGCGAAGGCGCCTGGGAAAGCAGCAGAAGATGGCCCACGTGCCTGGAGACCGCGATGCTCTCGGCCTGTGAGTCCAGGGCTGGGTCTCTCGGCCCTTCCAGATCCTGGCACCGTCACCTGCCTGCAGGCTCGGGCGGACAGCAACTTCTCACCCCAGAAGCTTCCATGGAGGGAAAGCCAACGCCCTCCCCTGCAGCACACGGCCTGCTGAGCCCGCCTAGGCTCCCGCCCCGCCCACGGCCCCCCACCCACGTCTGGGCTCTGCTTCCGCCTCATCCTCCACCCCAGGTCCCCAACAGTAGCCCCGGAACATAGAAGGCAACCAACCACGAGGGTCCCAGGAAAGGGTCCCCCACACACCCGAGCCGCAGTTAGCAATGGTGGGCTGGGCGCTGCCCTTCCAGCACACCCGCCCAGGCTTCTGTCTGCCCTCTCCCCTGGGAGGCAGCAGGCGGTGGGGGCCCCTGCCACCCACTGCGCCACAGCGCCGGCCCCCAAAACAAATATTAAAAAAAAAAAAACTGAAACAGAGGTCAACAGCAGCAAAGGCAACGTGGCGGATGGAGAAGGTACTTGGGGACATCAGAACAGGTAGTGTGGCCAACGGACACCAGCACCTGGCTGGCGCGGAGAAACAGGCCAGGCCTCGGCAAACAATGCTACTGCCCGGCTTGGGAAAGCCACGGCAGAGAGAGACAGAGGGAGACAGAGACAGAGGGAGACAGAGACAGAGAGACAGAGAGAGACAGAGAGAGAGAGAGAGACAGAGAGACAGAGACAGAGAGAGACAGAGACAGAGAGAGAGAGACAGAGAGACAGAGGGAGACAGAGACAGGAAGAGAGAGAGACAGAGAGAGAGAAAGGAAAAAGAGAAAGAGGAGAAGGAAAGAGAGACAGAGAGAGAGAAGATTTCCACCTGCTACTCCCCTCCCCAAAATGGCCACAAAACCCAGGGCTGGGCCAGGTCAAAAGCCACGAACCTGAACCACCACCGTGGTTTCCCAGGTGGGGGCGGGGACCCCAGCACTCGAGCCACTGCCTCCCAGGGTGCTGCTAGCAGGAAGCCGGAGAGGAAGCAGGGCAGCCAGGACTCCACCCTGGCGCTCCGACGTCGGATGTGGGTGTCCCGAGCGGTGATGGCTCAGGTGCTGCACCAGGATGCCTGACCCCGCTGCTTCCCGCCATGCACACAGGCCACTCCGAGAGGCATGGAGCCCTAACGGGGAAAAGCAGGCCAGCGCCGCAGCTCACTAGGCTAATCCTCCGCCTTGCGGTGCCGGCACACCGGGTTCTAGTCCTGGTTGGAGTGC